AACTGCATTCTAATTCTGATTTCTCCATAGGTGGACAGCCTATCAACAGCTTCCATTGGGAGAAAGTATATTACTCACCAAGTAGGAGCTAGTAGTCCAAATAAAGCACAGCCCATCATCATTAAAGGAAGACCAATTTCTGATGGCACCACAGGGGAATTACTAGGTTTCTTGCTTTCTCAGCTCTACTAAATCAGTCACCACGCCCACATCAGGTTCTCCGCTTCCAGTATTCGGTTGTTATCTTCTGTCTGCTGTCACCTCTCATCCAGTTCTCTTTACCCTTGATAGATGTCTGCTTTTGTTTTCTCTACCATTTTAATGGGGAGAGAAACAGGACTTCTCTGGTATTATTAGAGGGTTGGTTTCTTTTAGGCTTTCTTTTGATCCCTATGGTACCTGTTTTCTCCCAATACTCTAAGTATCATTCCTTCCTCATCATTCTTTATTTCTGTGTTTTTTTTTTATTTTGATCATTTTTTTTTTGGAGGCTTTTCCCAAACGTCCAATGATGTTGGATTGTTAGTTCATGTTTAAGAATGAGGTTCTGAAAAGAATCGACTGAAAGATGTGTGGGCAAACAGGGCTTGTCCACTGGTAGAGTTCTTAAGGTGCTCTGGTGGTGAGCCTATCGGTATCTGAAGCTATCTCGGTCTTCTGCAGATGAGCAGGACAGGCCTGCCTAGAATTCTGGAAAGAGGGCAGAGAAAACAAGCTAGAAGTTCCACAGTTCAGATGTAGGTTTCCCTGAATCGTCTTGTTTTAAATCAGTCAGACACCCATTGCTCCTGGTTTCAGGATGCAGGGATTTCTTTGAATTTTATAAAGAATAAACCTTGTAATAGATATGTATGATATTGGGGGGAGTGGGGCAGCGGATTGGGGGAGGGGAATGGTCACTTTGAGGGGTATAAAGCATAACTATTGCACTGTGTTGTATACCTGAAATTAAAAAGAGGGGGTGGGGAGGAAAGAAAGAAAGAAAGAAAGAAAGAAAGAAAGAAAGAAAGAAAGAAAGAAAGAAAGAAAGAAAGAAAGAGAGAAAAGGAAAGGAAAGGAAAGGAAAGGAAAGGAAAGGAAAGGAAAGAAAAGAAAAGAAAAGAAAAGAAAAGAAAAGAAAAGAAAAGAAAAGAAAAGAAAAGAAAAGGAGGAAGAAAGAGAGGAAGAAAGAAAGAACAAACCAACCTTGGTCTCCTGAGGCCACAGGTTGCTGGTGGAGGGAGTCACCTACCTACAAGAAGGGTCCCTAGGGGGAGGACCTAAGGACTCCACCTGTAGGCGCACAGTTTCCAGCCACCCCCGTTTCCAGCTCCATTGCTGACCCTTCTGCCCTCAGTGTCCGGTGCTTCCCAATGCTGAGGTCTGTGGAAGCTCCGGACACAGCAGTAAACCTCCCAGGGGCCGTGCACTTACTGGGGTTGAGACCTTTCCTCTATGCTGAGTTAGTTACTGTCTGTCCATCTGCTTTCTTATTTCAAAACAGTATAACAATGTCTGCCTCCTGTCGTCATCTCATTCCAAAGGGAATGGGGAGTCCCTGTTTAATGGGGGCAGTTTCAGTTCTGTAAGATAAAAAAAGGCCTGGAGATGGAGATGGTGATGGTGGCATAACTACATGAATGTACTTAATGCTACTAACCTGTACACTTAAAAATGGCGAAAATGGTTAAGTTCTGTGTAATGTATATATGATCACAATTTTTTAAAATAATGTTTAAAAGGTTTAAAAAAATAAGTTACCTCTTCAAAGACTCCTTCCAAGATCACCCCAAGCAAAGTTACCCCTCACCCCAGCCAGGGTAAGTCTCTGGTGCATACCATGATTTACTTTTTTGTAGGACTTATTGCTATATGAAATCCTCCTATTTAATTACTTAATTTTAAGAGTCCTAACTCACTTTGTAGAGAAAAGCCCTCAGGGGAAAAAAAACAAACTATGATGCAAACTTTTAAACATTTAAAAATTAAATTAATAATTTTATCTATATAAAAATGTAACTTAAATTTATATACTAACTATACTTTTAAAATTAAACCCAGTGATACATTTAGTACTCCTAAATAAGGTGATTGTAAATCTTTACGTATTAACAACTGCATTTTAAAATAATACTAGAGTATTTGGTGTTCAATATTTTCTTTAGAATAAAACTTTTCTCATGGTCGAAAAGACCGTGCGTCTAGTGCTACTTCGCCCTGTAGCTTTCGTTATGCCATGCCACCCTCCGACTACAGATTATGCTGGGTGGGTGGGGACTTCCTCCATTCATGCTCCTGAGATGCATAAATAGACGAGGAAGTCTAAAACCAAGATGAGTTTGCTCTCCCCAAATTCTCAGAGAACATAATAGCCATCATGTGTGAGTCCCTTCTTTCCTCATCTCTTCCGTAACAATCCTTCCTTCTCTCTGCTGGTCTTTCATGCTCAGTTCCTTCCCCGACTAGTTCGCCTCTCCGCCTTTCCAAGACTAGCCTCTTCTCCTAGGTTCTCATCTCCCCCCAACCCTTGTTCCATCAATGACTCTTTCTCTGCCAACTGTGGTACTTCCTGTCCCACCACGAGGTTCACCTCTGCCATCATATCCTGTACATACAAGGCTTTTTCTATCTTAAAGAAAAAAAAAAATTCACTTGATCAAGCTGTCTTCATTTTATTCCTACCCTACTTTTCACTACCAAACTTTTCAAACAAATAGCTGATATTTAAGCATCAACCATGCTCTCATTATTCCATAGAAATATGGCTTCCACCTGCCACCCCCAAATCACTGAAACTGGATTCATGACATTCTTCTATTGTCAAATCCAGTGGCCTTTTTTTTTAGTTTTCAATTCCTTTGACATTTCTGTTGTATATCATTAACTATCCTCTTGTAAAATCTCTTGTCCATTGGTTGCAATGACATCATTTTAGTTCTTTTCTGTCTTAGTAAATAACTCCTTTTGTACTTCCCTAAAGAGGTCTCCTTTTCATCTCATTCCCCAACTCAGGTTCATTCTTCAGTTCACTGCTTCTATTTCTATACATTTTTTATTAAAAATTGTACTGAATATTAAAATTTCAAGTGTTATTGTCCTGTGTGTGTGTATATATATATATATATATATATATATATATATATATATATATATATATATATAAAACCCACACACACACAAGTGTGAATAACCATTTCTGTCATCCCCTCCCAAATCAGGACCACCCCTAAATTTCCTGAAAATATATTAGTAGTCTCTCTGAAACCACAGCACACACAGTCACACACCTCTGGGCATTTTGGTTCATCTTCTACTGGCTAGAATGTTCTTCCACTCTCACTCTAAAACCTATCAGACTCAAATGCCACTTCCTCTGCAAGGCCATTCCTGTCACACACCTCTCTCTCAAGCAATGTGAATTCCTACTTCTCCCTTCTGTACAGCCATGGTACTTAAATAGGTAACTTTATTATAGGACAGCCTTTTCATGATTTTATGTAGTATACATTCCTGTGTTTTTAGTCTCAATAATTACGTTTCAGGGGCAAGGAATATGTTTTATTCTTTTTGTTTCTTTGGCTGCTATAATGTGGTAGACACTTGATTATTGGAGAGTATACCTGAAAGGCCCAGGTTCAGAATATTAGTGACATCTTAAGACACTTCATATCCCTACACTGCTTTGCACATGCCAAAGTTCAAATTGATAGCTTTCTGAACACTGGAAGCATTTTATTGGCTAACCTGTCATTTGGCATTTACGGTTTCCTGCTGTAAATGTGTCTTATTGTCTATGTTGTATATGTCTTATCTTCACAACTGGGTAAGTACTTGAGGACTACAATTATTAATGTTAAGTACATTATACTATCTGGTGTGATTCCGTGAACTTGAGCAGGTAGTCAGTAAATATTGCATGACTGATGAGCCTCACTATTAGGAATTCTAAAAACTACTGGGTAGGTCTGTTATTAATTTTGTTTTTAATCTTTTTAACTTGTTTTAAATAAAAATCAAGTTTCTCAAAATTACTCTAATCATTAATAAAAATAAACACACATGGAACTCAGACAATAAATATCTTCAAATCCACAGTGCAAACAGTATATTTAGTTTGAAAAAGAAAAAGCAACAGTGGCTTCTTTCAATGGTGGTAGGGCGTTTCTCCTTGCAAATACAGATCTATCACATGTCGTCATTAAAAAGCAATTTCCCTACAATTCACAATGTAAAAATTGATTCGGCAAGTATCATCGATGCAAGTTTAAAACCAAAGTGAACGACTGTTGGAAACAATGATCCCACATATTTACACATTTGTAAGTGGGAAAATTATATCTTTAAAGTGAAGAGATCCAGAAGTCACCAGAAAAGGTTCACCCTGCATCTAATAATGAGGAAAAATTAGGCAAATCCACAAGGCAGAAAACTTGATGCATAAAATCCTCAAAAAAATTAGAATCAATGTAATAAAAAGTATTATGTCAGATTTTTATTATTTCAGAATAACATTGTCTGGAAACATAGCAAATATAGGGTATGGATCCTGGATTTTTAAAAATGTATTTATTTTTTCGGACTACCATATTGGATGTGAATATTGAATGTATTTATTTTCTTAATTGTGTTAATGATATTGTAGTTATGAATACCTTATTCTTGGAAATTTGGCCTAAAAGAACTTAGGGATGGAGAAATATCTCCAACTTCCTCTCAAATGGTTCAACCAAAAAATAAATAAAAGTAAAATTGTAACTGTGAGTTGGTGTATATGTTAATTAGCTTGATTGTGGTAATCACTTAATGATGTATACATATATCAAAATATGCTGTACAACTTAAATCTATACAGTTTTTATTTGTCATGTGAACCTCAATAAAACTGGGAAAGAAGTATACATAAGGCAAATATGGCAAAACACTTTAAGTATGTTTATGTGATCATTAACACTATTTGCTTTTAGCTTTTCTTTATATTAACATTTTCAAAATAAAAAGGAATAAAAGTAATTCCTCTTCTTTCCATTTACTTTAAAGGTAAGTTAATTAATAAGAGCTGGGTACAGAGCCCTACTGTTTCTAACATTTTAAATACTTTTAAAAAGTAAGTAAGTTAACCTCTGAGAATATGTACTACGGACACATAACTTCACTTACTAACAAACAAGGGTAAGCTAAATGTAAAATAAGTAGAAAAAGTTCTTCCCCATTTTCACATAAAATTGTAGTTCTTAGCAACAATTCATCAGATAACTCCTTTTGCTGATATTTAACTGAATATGCATTAATGAATATTCTTGAGTTTACATCTTTTTCCAGTAACCTACAATCATCCCATGATTCTTACAGTTGATAACCTTTGAAATCAGAGGTTTTCTTTCTCCTCCATGGTAATGCTCTCCCCCACCCCCACTGCCTGCCATCTTGGTGGAGTTTTCATCTCAGCCTTCCAATTTAAACTTAATTGTCAATGCATTAGTTACCTATCACTGCATAACAGATTACCACAGAACTCACTGCTTTCAAATACCAATAAACCTTTATTATCTCACAGTCTCTGTGGGTCAGGAACTCAAGACCAACATCGTCAAAGGCATGGGGACACTACCACAGCACTGGTGCTCCCAAAGGGTAAAGCGGGAGGTGATGGGCGTCACTGGCTCATGGCAATTCTGAAATCCAGTGGGATACAGGCAATTCCTGACTCGAATTCAAAGCCTGGCTCTGCCCTCTAGACTCGTGGTTCTGCTTTCTGAGTCATCCTTTCTTTTCCATCGAGGGAAGATCATGTTTGAAGCTATGTAGCATTCTCAGTGTGCTTCCTGCCTGTAGAGGTTCAGGGATCCAAAGACCACTTTTCATTGTACAGTCTCTGTCCCTTCCAATTCAAGCTGACAGTGTTTCTGCCAATTCAATTCTCTTTAAAAGAAAAAAAAAGAGAGAAAAACAGAAAGAAACCCTTTGTGGGTCTCCTGTGAACCTTATTATGGTTTACTCTATTAGAACGGTCTCAGTCAACAGGGGCTCTATGGCCATCTTCCACTAGACGCCTCCACCAAAGATGCAGGGCCCTAATGCCAGTAACATAATACAATAGACACCACCCCACTCTTTCTGATATTACCTCTAGTCCTACTAGTACACCCACAATTTATGTCGCGAATGAAAAATGTTAATAGATTCCATAAAATTAAAAATCAATGATACAAGGAAAAGGGAGATGGCTAAAATGTAGGACACGTTAAAAGAAAACTAGAAAAGCACACCCAGGCAAAGGAAAAACACAACGCAGAACTGAAATCCACACTGTAGAAAGTTTATATCAAAAGAACAGAAACTTGGATTGTGAAGCAGAAGACTAACTACAAATGTTCACTGAGAATAAAAGAAAGAATAGAAATAAATCGTAAGGTAAGAAATGATAAATATGGTAGGATGTAAATATCCAATCAAAAATAATAAGGCGCTATGCTACATCGTGTATTAAAGAGGGCCACAAATTCTTTGCCACTCTTTCCATCAACAGATGGACTCTCTGTTTCCTCCCCTTGAATCTAGGCTGCCTTGTGACTTGTTTGACCAATAAAATGTATTAGAATAAATGCTGTGCCAGCTCTGGAACTCGCCTTCAGGAGGGCTGGTAGCTTACGTTCTCAGAAGCCAGGCAGATGCTCTGTTCCAGGAAGCCGCGGGGAGGAGAGCTGAGACACCCCCAGCCAGCACTCGGCACCAAGGACCCAAACACGGCAGCAAGGCCTCTGGGATCTCCCAGTTCAGCCCAGCTACCTTCTAAATGCAGCCACATGAGTGACCCCAAGTGAGATCGCCAGAAGAACCACTGAGTCAAACCACAGAATCATGAAAAATAGTAACTGTTGTTTAAAAACACTAAGTGCTGTGTGGTCTGTCATGCAGCAGTGGATAACTGATGCAGCTATATTGACCTACAACAACACAGCACTGCCAAAATAGTCTATATTTTGGATACAACTATAGTCTGAAGTATAAAGTACTTGTATCCGAAGTCTGTGCTAGAAAATATTAACTGACACTGCTTAAAAACCCAGCTTGCTTCAAAAGCCTGGTTGAAAGTATTAGCTTTTCAATTTCTTAAATTATCTTCTGTTTACTTACTTGAAAATATATTCTAAATTCTATCCTAGGATTAAGTCAGGCAGGGGAGATTGGACAATAAATAATAGAATTTTCCGATTTTACTGACACCTACTTTAAGACGTTTTAAGAACATTCCATTGTGTACATGTATAGCTCATTCTCTGATTGCGTCGCTCAGCAGTTTCTGAGGATTGACAACACACTAGGCGTTAGCATGGCAAACACGAGCCAGGAAACTCTGAAGTGGAACTGATGACAGGTCAAACTCTTATCACTCCCCTAATTTTTCCAGGATGCCAACCATGCCTAGTCTGTGCTCCCAAAGCACTTTGTACAAGTCTCTATTTAGTAGTAATAATAATAGTAATGGCAGCTAACATTTATGAAGCACTTATTATGTTACTGGCATAATTCTACGCCTTTCATATGATTTAACTCAATCTTTACAACAACGCTCAGAAGGTAGGTAAGGGCTATCATTATCCCCGTTTTACAGATAAGGAAACTGATTCATCTTAAAGAGTGTTTACCCCCCATTAGGCTCCAGACTCCTTGAGGGTAGGTGACCTGTTTCTTCATCTTCATATCCTCCCCAATCCCCAGCACATATTTTTCTATAATGAAATAAAGAAATTCGTTTATCCAAGGACTAGAAATGAATATGCTCATTTACTTTATAAGGACAATTTTTCACTCCTCAAAAGCATAAGCTGATAACACCTTTGGGACTAAGACAAAAATGGCTTGGAGCTAAGTAAATATCTATGGTTAATGGGTAAAAAAGAATTACCATAAGATAAAAGTTTACCAATTCATTGATAAACACAACTATTAAGACCTAAACTTTTACAAGCAAGCCTAATTTCATAGTAATATATTTCATTCAGTAACATTTTCATGTTGAAAACCATAATTATCACAATGACAACTACAAAAGTCTGCAAGCTCTTTTTAAAGAAGTCAGCGACACAGGAATAAAGAAGTAGGGGGAAATACCCATTTCAATATGCGGAGGAAAAAATCCAAGTGAACGTAAGATCTAATACTTTGAACAATATACTTGGGGGCTGACCCAGTGTTGTTTGGATCAGTAGAGTTGGAACCAGCAACTATAAAACCTATGACTACCAGTTTCATTGCATACTTTGACTTAGAAACAAAAACAAAAATGAAAACCTTTAACCAATTGCCCTAATACACTAAAAACTCGCAATCTCAGATTACTGGCTAGAAACTGAAATTTGGATTCTGCAAGAATAAAGTCAAACTGCGGATCATTTTACAAACATACCTCCTAATTGACTATCTCTTCAGAATACCAGACTATCTTTTTTTTTTTTTAAGGAGTACAAACCTAGTACTCCTATGACCAGAAAAATGGCTGCAATTTTAGAGTAAATTGCACAGGGCTAAATTTTAGAGAATGGTTGTGTGCCAGATTTTCAATCTGACCTCTGGAAAGGCTGTCGTCTCTCCTGGAAATCTGATTGAGAACCGAAGTACAGACATTAATGACAGATATCACAAGGTTCTGTGGCAGACACTGTTGGTTGGCTAATGTGACATCATTTCCCAACTCTCTTCGCCCTTGCCACCCCCACTAAAAGACTGAAAGCCAGACACTGGCCTTCTCACAACTAAGGGAACACATAACCCAGTTCTGGAGAACAAGACAGAAAAGGAAGTCTGATAGTGAACTTCTGAGAAAGCTGTTGCTTTCCTAATACAAAGGACAGTGGCTGACACCAGCCACCTCCCATTTGTTTGCCTACACAGGAACGTAATATTTGTTAGGACAGCCATTTTGAAAACTTGAAGCAACAAGTGTAAGATCGAAAAGCCAACAAGCGAAAGGTGAAGCAGAAAGAGAGAGCTGGAATCTTTGATGATTTTATCCTTATCTACTAAACGACCGGCAACTGCCCACCTTTACCCTTCTTAAGTGAGAAAAATAAATCTGCCTTTGTCTTGTTACTGTTGGCTGGGTTTTCTGTTATTTTTAGCAGAATGCCTGCCTTACTAATACATTTACACACATTTAGACAATATGGTGTACAATTCCTTTAATTAAAAAAAAAGTTATAGTACTTGTATAAACAAAAAACAGTCATATTGATGCCAAATAAGTGACAAATTTAATCCAGGAGGTCCTAGATATTTTCCCTTAATAATATTTTTCTGACTATATAAAAGTAAAATATTCACTTTAGAAATTTTACAAAATATAGAAAAATGTAGTAAAGAAAAAAACTCATTACCCAGAGATAATCACATTTAATACTTTGGTAATATTTCCTTCTAATCAATTTCTATACATACATCATTATACAAAACTATGTTTTTTTTATTTTAATAAACTGTGATCATGCAGGATATAGTTTATTATTAACCAATATATACACAAATAACTTAGTAGCATATGAAAGAATATGACTTAAAAATTAAAGTGTCTCTTCCACCATTCACACACACACACACACACACACACACACACGCACACACACACCCTTCTCTCTCCAGTCCACTTCTCAAAAATAGCCACTTTTAATACTTAGGGCATTAGGCTCTGTTTCTTAATTTATCATCTGTAACCGCATCAACTGACTTCCCACTATGAAGGTGAGAAATTGAGTTCCCCTTCACCCTTCTTCCCAATTTTTATTATTTTTATTTTCATTTTTAGTTTTTCTGGTGGCTGATACATATACTGTTAAAAAAAATACACTTAAGCCTCCATTTCTTGACCCACAGATTTTAGAGAGAATGCCTTAGCTTTCAACTGTGTAAGATAAGGAAATCAGTGTTCTTATACGGGAAACGTTTTTAGTCATAAAGTTCAACCATGGGATTAAAAAGTAGTCATTTGGTTTTACCCAATCCTGAGTGAGGAAGAAAAAATGGATATACTTGCTTTAGCACTAATTCATTTAAGAAAAAGTGTTAAAAAAGATGAGAGGGGTATAATGAAAAACAGATACAGAAAACAACTAATAGAACTCGCAAGTTCTATAATGAACGCAGCTAACTTGTTACAGACAAACGTGGATTTCTACGTGGTAAAGGAAGAAGCCTGGAGAGGAAAGCACACGTTCAGGCCCGAAAGGGCAGGGTCACAGAGCAGCTCCGCTTCCACACCCGGCTTCCCACAGAGAAGCCCACGGCACTGAGCAGACAGTGACTTACCACTTGGAGTGCCAGTTCACATCAATAACCTCTGAGAAATGTAGCGTATCCAAAGGATATTAAGAAACAAAACTGAAAAGGGCAAGGGTCTTTCTTGTTTTTACCGAAGAAAACAATGGATAAGCCTAAATGTTAAATATTAGTAAACTTGATGTCTAACTGAGCAATATTAAGTAACAGATTATTAAATGATACTAGCAGCTATTGTTTGTTAACGATTTATTATTTTCCATGCACTGTGATAAGAGCTAATCAAACACTGTGATCTTTGAGTCTTACAAGCATATAAAATACACAACATTGTCATCTCCATTTTACAGATGAGAAATTTAAGGCATATTAAGTATTTTGCCCACATTCACTAATAAATGGCAGAGCCAAGACTTAAAGCTACGTTCCATCCGCTTAACCACTGGACAAAACTGATGGTATATCAGTACTTTAAAAAAAAAAAATGAGAGAGGGGGCCGGACAAGTGGCTCAGTTGGTTAAGAGCATGAGCTCTGAGCAACAGGGTGGCTGGTTCGATTTCCATATGGACCAGTGAGCTGCGCCCAAGCTGAGCTGCCACTGAGCTGCCAACAGGTGGCAGGATGGTTCAGCTGGTGAGAAAACGTGCTCCTAACAACAAGGTTGCTGGTTGACTCCCACATGGGATGGTGGGCTATGCCCACCAGCAACTAAGACTGAACATGGCACCTTGAGCTGAGTGGCCAAGAGCTGCCAATAGGTGGCTGGATGGCAACTGGACTTGGAGCTAAGCTAGAAGCTAGCTGCGCCCTCCACAACTAAAGATTGAAGGACAACAACTTGGCTGTTCCCTTTCCCCAATTCCCCAATAAAATCTTTAAAAAAAGAAAATGACTATTAAAAAAAAAAGAGAGAAGTTGATGGATGAGAAGAATAGATTCACTAAAAGCAAGTTACGTAACACTAGTCACTTTTCTCTTTTAAGTTACCATGTTGCAAAGGCACAGACAAATTTCTATGACATGTTAAGTGAATATAATGCCATTTATGTAAAGTGAGACAAAAAAGATCCAAATGCTTATACAGAATAAAGTATAAAAGTACCATTTCTTTAATTACCCTTCTTCCTGTGCCCTGCCTAATCTCTTGAATCCCAATCTCTTGACAAGAGGCAAATGCAATTTATAGTTTGGCACGTATCTTTCTGGTTACTGAATATTTAAGGAAAAATCTGGCTTTATACTGACACATCACACTTGACAGTGGTTACTTCTGAGAAGGAAAATGGGAGTGGAGGAACCATATCATACTGTATTTATTTACTGATCGAATCTTTTACAAAAGGAATTCATCTATTACTTAGATAACACAAAATTTTTTGAATCCTAATGATGCTCAAAGAAAACAGGGCAAGAGTTAGTTTCTAAATATGGCCTCAATGGCATCCTTAGAAGGGAAAAGTTTGATAATTAGACTGCATAACAATTTTAAACTTTTACATGACAAAAACATACCATAAAGTTAAAAGGTATATTCAAGCCAAGAAAAACATTTGCAACAACAACAAAAAAGGGTAATAGAATAATGGTATTCAAAAAATATAAATAGCTCTTACACATAAATAAGAACATATAAGATGTATAAACTTGACCAAAAACAGGCCTCATAACAATTGACTAAGGACAAAAGCAAGCAATTCATTTGAGAGAGAGAAAAAAAAGGGTTTTTAAAAGCATTAATACAAAGTTAAACCTCAGTAACAAAGATATGTAAAATAAAACAGCAATAAAATGGTAAAAACTAAAAAGCGTAACACCCAGTGATGGCTATGGTTCGAGAAAGCAGACACTTTTACAAACTAGCAATAGCAATGTAAACTGGTAGCATCTGGACAATAAATTGGCACATGTAAATGACTTATATAAACAAAACATTTTAAAAAGTTCTTTTAAAAGGTAAAACTAAAAAAGGCGACTTCACCCTTAGATTGCCCTGACTGGCCTGGGAGCTAACAGTCCAGCTGCGTGCTTCCCTGCACAGACCACATCTGCAGCATTACGTTCACTTCCGGGCACCACATTTTGAGAACGACATTGACAAACATATTTACACAGTAGGACACCAAGATTATGTATGAGAGGGCTGGAAACTATGTCATACAATAAACAAACTAAAGAAAAGAGAACATTTTGCTTAAAAAGGGGATTTTAGGGAAGACATCAGTGATCCTGAGAAATATCTGACGGCTTGTCACATGGAAAGCTATTTGTTTTATATTACTCAGGAGGGCAAACCAAAGACCACGAGTGCTCCGAGCTGTTAAATAATGAAAACAGTTACGCCTTATATATTGAGATTTTAGTTGCCTACAATATCTGAGATGAATGACCCATCAGTAGAAAAGATTCTTCTCATAGGCTTGAAAAGTTAAGTTTCATGAACGCAGAAGTAGTTTGCAGTT